AAAAAAAAAAAAAAAAAAAAAAAAAAAAAAAAAAAAAAAAAAGCCTAAGTAAACAAAAAGTTTGTAACCAACTGATTTAAGCTATGGAAACAGCAATTTATAAAATCTAGGTTGTTTTACTTAAGGCAATACTTATTTTCAATTTAACCACATTGCTAAGCTTTTAAAAAATAAACTCTAATCAATTCAGAAGTGTCCTAGGACAATATGCTACATCTAGATTATTCTAAAGACACTGGGAAACCATACAAATAAGTTAAAAGAGCAGTTTCCACATTTTAAAATCAGAACATTCCATCAGTTAATTTTCCTTCAATGCAGATAATTTCATGAATACCATAATTTCAAAACAGTGTTATACCGTGTACCTTCCCATTTTGCATATGGTTTTATATAATACATAAAAAATGCTGATTTGAAACACTTTCCCCTCCTTCTTGAGATGAAGTCTGAGACTTCAGAAAGTTAAACGCATAGAAGTGCATGAGCAATGCAACATAATCTTCCTAAATATACACAGTTAACTACTGATAAACTACTTAAAAGACTAGCAAGAGAGAAAATGCAATGAAAACTGGCATTTCCAACAGGTAAAAACTGTTTAGATGTACAAAGAAGAGCTCAATTAGCAAAGCCTAAAGTAAATCACTCATAAGCAAACTTGGGTTAAAAACAATTGAAAAGCCCTGGTTTTCTCATTTTGTCCTTCTCACTGTATCAGTGTTTTAAGCAGTTTTTATCAGATATTTAAGCTGTGCTGCTAAACCATCCATGGAGCCCAAACCAACTTATGGGGGAAAGTAAGCCAGTATAGACTAGCTACTGTAGTTACCAGATTCTCTATATCTATGAACAATTCAAAATTTCTGATCCCACTCGAAGTGAAGTGAAGAAGTTGTATGATATACACAAAGAAAGCTGTGCTTGCCCACAGCTGATTAATGTGCACAGAGGGCCCTGAGGCTACTAGGATAACTAGACAATAAAAATGGTTAAGACTAAAGTCAGACTTTTCAACACTGCCTATTCATTTCCCTCAAGTTGCAGTTGCCTCAAATTTCATAGTCAATCTCTTTGAGAGACAGGACAAAAAATATACATAAAACCGTTTTGGATATAGTATCTGTAATTTCCAATAAAAAACATCCTTGATTGTTTTAATAACTGTAAGTCCTCTTGTACCATTAATCACAATAAAAGGTGAACACCAAGGGTAATGGAACTGTAAAATCTTTAAGATACCAAGGCTCAAGTCCATAATCAAAATGTTAGCACTTTGGCTCCCACATTAAAATTTTCTTTTCAGATGATAAAATACACTCAAAAATAAAATACAAAACAATTATCAAGTACAAAGCTGTAGAATTTGGTAAACAACTAAGTGAGGGGAAGGCACTTGTTAGCAGCAGTGTCTAGAAACTTCCAAGCAGAGAAACATAATCGAATCATTAAACACCCTCACCCTAGGAATTATATTTTTGACCTCTAAAAAACCGTCTTACCTGTTTACAAGTTTATACAGCTGTTTACCACTGGAACACCACCTTGCAGAGTATAACCGTGGCATCCTTGGTTGATAATCACCTGTTGCCTAGCAATCACCATCCCGCATGGAGACAAGACAGCACTAGGGCTCTTCCATCCGAGGTTAAAATTCAAAACAAGCCCAAACAAGCCTGCATGCCAAGGTGGTCTTCGTCTGTAACTAGTTAAGTTTAAAACTGGCAAACAACCATGGTGTCTGAAGCCAAAGGTGCAGAATTGCTGGCTTCCTCTTGAACTCCAGCGTTGTCACTGTGCACTGAAGTATTCTGCTGCAAACAGGGGAGTTTTTCTCCTGTACTGGGAGCAGGCTTCCAAAGCTCAAGAGCCCCTGTACAGGATAATGCAGGAACTAAAGGCAAACACTTTCTCCTCCTTAAGGATGCCTCCATTTTTTCCTCACAATCTGTACTACCAACCGAAGTGACTGGGCCTGAGTGTGCGTTCGTACCTATGAAACCGTCACGATGCATGCACATCCAAGGCATGTGGAACCACAGGTCAAATAAGGCACAGATACCAAGTAACGGTTCTAATTACAAACGCTAGCTCTCAGGAACTCTTCATCCATTCAGAACTAAACCCATCATCACTGCATAACTCTGGTAAGAAGCCCCTGGAGATGGAGGAGCTCCTCAAATGTGTCAGGAAAGGCTTTATTAACATCATCATTAACATTTAAAAAGCAACCGGAGCATTTCTCCTTCTTTTGGCAATTTGGTGCAAATGTTAAAAGTGCAAGATAATGCAATTTCAAACTTTTCTTCAAATTAAAAAATGAAACTAAAGCCAAACGTGATGGGTGAACAAAATAAATCAAAACTTAAATTTCAGGAACTCCGGCTCTTCAAACCAGCAAAGCCCCCGACTCGAGCACTGTGGTGAGGCTTAGAGTGCTTGCCCCGGCTTCTTGCGCGCCAGCAAACAGCACCCTCATCATGTTGAGGACCGAGAAGCAAAGGATCCCCTTCACTGCAAACAAAAGGGGTCACTGTAACACTATGATCCTTCAGAATTGACACACCGTGATAGTCAAAACGAAATTGATGGTCTCCCTGCTTCTTGCTCAAGACATACAAGATCTGAGCAGCAGCAAGTACCCCCTCCGCTGCAAACAAAGGGGTCAAGGTTTGCCGTCAATTCACTTCCAGGCAGAAAAACATTTTCCTCAAAAGAAACAATTTATTTAGAATAAAACAAAAGCAGCTCAACTGTGAGCCCATGTTTGAGTGACAGCTACTTTTAAGCTGTGTGAGCCATAAAAAGGGTTTTTCTTTACTTTTCCAGAAATCTTGTGTACACAGCACAAAGCAAAGAGGTCATTTTTCCACTTAAAACACCGGCATTGGCATCACAATAGCAGATACACAATGTTAAGCTGCCATTTTAGTAAAATGCACAAAATACTAAACAGATTAGCTTTCTTCCATCAGAGGCCCATGTAAACTCCACATAAGCCACAACTTCTCTTCAAAAAGGTCCATTAGAGCTTTGAATTCCGTATCTTCATCCGCTGTTCACCAGTTTTGCTTGCGGGAGGGGGAAAAAAAGGTTATTCAGTACAAACGTTTACAGTATTAAAAATATATATATTTCCCCTATGCCATTATAGATGAACATAGTATTAACAAGACCTTCCTGAATAGTCCACTTTAACTTCAAAAAGCACCAATAATATCCACTGGCACAAACCTTGAAATGAATTTACTATATGAATACACAAATAACAAGTAAAACAGTAGAATCTGATTTGTATTTTTTAAAGACTGTCATCAAGGACTATAGGACTGAAAATATCCTTTATCCTCAAATAACTGACTAAACACATGGCCAAATGTTCAGGAAAAGCAAATTTATGACCAACTTATAATTACCAGTATCTTCTAAATATAACTAAAAAAGTGTAACAATAGAAAGATGGAGTTTAGACAAACTTTCGACCCCTCTATGCTTATTTTGTAATTTATATGGAGACAAAGATTATTACTCCATGACTGCAGAAAGGGGTCAAAGCTACAAAGCCATTTACAAACCACCTTTACCTATGTCACCAAGACAGTAGGTGTTACTTTCTGTTAAGGAAATACACATACAATTTGCTGAATAGTCAGAAAACACTTCAGTACTCATACTTTTCAATTCGGTTCAAATTATACACTTAAGAACTCTTCATCAAACTTAACATTTTACTGTAGTTACCTGGAATTATTTCCCACCGTTAAGGATATCACTCTAACTACAAAGTTAACAGGCCTTACTCTGGTTTTTGTTCTCATACCTTACTCTTATTTCAAAAAATCAGACGTTGTAACAAACACAGGGGGAAAACGTCCAGAAATTGTCTCCATTTTTCCCCCCACATAAGTCATTAAGGCCCTTTTCCATAGAGGATCTCATAATTCTGTTACTACAGAAGTTTTGGTAAATGGTTCTTATATGGATACAAACTACAGTTCAAACTATGCCTGCAATTTTACCAGAAAAAAAAAGCTATTTAAAAAAGTTGTCAGTGAACATAGTTTTTAAATAAACCTAGAAATGTCTGACTCTGAAAAACACCAAAACACCTTTTACCTCTTTGTATGAAATAACTAAGTGAATCAGTCACAAAGAGAGTAAGTATATCACCTTCAAAATATAAGAAAAGCTTATTTAAGCCAGAGGATGTACTTTTAAGAGGTTAATTCTAAAAGGAAAATTATCTTCAGTTTGATAGTGTACGAGTACACATTAAAAATTTAGGTTTCTGGATGAAAAATACTTTACAGAAGGAATCCCTATTACAACCAGCAAAATACTACTCCACAATTAAGTAGAACCATTTGCTAGAAGCTGAGTGATTGCTTAACTTTCCAAAAACTTTGAAGCTGTGATCAATAAAGTCTTAATTTTATTTTTACCAGTATATTTAATAAATAGCATACTTAAGAAATTTTCTTTCCATTCATTTTAGGAGAAAGAAAAAAAAGTTAAAGTACTAGTCATTAAAGAAAGAAAACAAAAAACAAAAAAATGTGTTGTTAAAATGAGTATCCCAAGGCCAGAAGAGGGTGTTGGATCCCCTAGGATTAGGTGCTGGAAACCAAACCTGGGTCCTCTGGAAGAGCAATGAGCATGTGGTATACAGACATACATACAGGCAAAACACCCATATGCATAAAATAATGTTTTAAAAGAATATCCAATATGGGATTCTGATACAGCCAATGAGATTTAGAAACAGTTTTAAGCTGCTTTCAATCAAATTCTGAAGGTTTAAGTGCTAATTGCCAGATATTATGAACCTGCACAAGAGTGGGCAACACAAATAAGATGATGGCACTTTGTAGGTAAGCACCAAACTAATTTACATAATACATATATTTGGAAATGGCATCAAGCCACTGTTTCAAAAACACTGAAGCACTAATTGATCAGATCTAACAAAACAACGTAGCATTGTCAGATAAGGGTTCAAACATGGAACAAAAATTGGTACTCTTGAATAAGGTGTTAACCAACAATGTTTTTAAAAAAGGAAAACCATCACAACACATTTGATTAATAGTAAAATTAGATGTCACAGACTTCACTCTCTAACAACAAAATCATTTGCCCAACTATCTTACCAAAAAATATTAAAAGGTTAATGGCTAGTGAAATTATTTAAACTAGAAAAAAAATCTATCTACCTAACTAAAAACTGTACTTAAACTCCACGTACTCTGACTATACTCGCATCAGCTTCTGAATAGATGTCTATTTCATGCCAACTACTGTTCTTGGAAACAAAAGACACCCAAAGTCTTCGTTGTAGATTTCAGGTATTTTTCCTATAGGCACACTAAGGGCCTTGTGCTCATAAGCCTAGTACATTCTTTTTCTCAAAAGTCTCCAAATTAATATAAAAATTATAAACAGTGAAAAACAAAAGTATGATGTAGTAGGTGATGAGGCTCTCAGACTGACATGAATTATACACTTGTCACAATGAAAAATTAAAATCATGTAACATTTCTCTGGGTTATTATTGATGCTATTTCAAATCTACCAGCTTTGATAACAGAAAGAAAACAGTTGGGCTCTGCAAGGCTTTGAGTAAGTCACTTTCACAGAATATAAAACAACCATGATCCAAAAACTCAAGTTCCTAATCATAACTAAATACCAAACCCTACTTGAAATCCTCAGTACTTAAATTGGGGAAGAAAATCATATTTAATAATGGACTTAGACATCACAAATAGTGGCAGAAGAGCACATAAAACAAACAATACTAAGTAGCAGAAGCCCTCATTAAGTACCAGATGCCATGTATCCTCAGCTTTTTATTTTGGGTGGGGTGGGTGAGTTCTGAGCAGGTGTTTAATTTTTTTAAACACCTGAGAAATCAAATAAAAAAGGATTTTCTAAGCCTGGCATTGGTGGTGCATCCCTTTAATCCCAGCACTCGGGAGGCAGAGGCAGGCGGATCTCTGTGAGTTCAAGGCCAGCCTGGTCTCCAGAGCGAGTGCCAGGATAGGCTCCAAGCTACACAGAGAAACCCTATCTCGAAAAACAAACAAACAAACAAACAAAAAACAAAAAAAAGAAAAAAAGAAAAAGAAAAAGGGGTTTCTAACACTGACACTTCAAACCTCTATAAGGCCAGAGAGCAGTCAAAATACTAGAATACTAGACATTAAATTTCAAAGATATTCAAAACACTGTCAACAATGTAATGCCACTACTCTGGTTTAAATATGAAGATAAAATATGAAGGAATTTTCTTCAAATATATCAAGGGCATTTTACAATAACCTTAAAAAAAATCTGTAATTCAGATGTTTGATTAATGACCATGGGAGTGGGGGGGGAGTTACTTATAAGCCTGCAGACAGCTGTTCTTTCTATTACTGGAATCAGAAATTTCTTAAATGGATACAAAAAACTTAATTTTTGGTTTTGAAGTATACACAATTAAAACTGTATTTGCTGTACCCCTCAAAGTCAATAAAAACACCACTGTGCACCTAACTTACCAAAAACTTCTCATTTTAAAAGCACTTACTCATTTCTTGCAGACCAGCTAAAGATGTAAATGGTTTATAACACAAGCCTCAATTTTTACCAATTACAGCTACATACACAGGATACAAAACTCAAAAACTAATGACATAAATGTTAAAGCAAGCAAACTTTCTGGGAATAAGAAAAATACTCAAATACCTGATTAAAATAATTGAACTTTGGAATACCTGATTAATGCTTCTAGTATAGAAACTATCTATGCACCAATCACACTATTTTTTCAGTACAAAAGGCTCTTTCCTCCAAATTATGATTCTAAAAGTTGTAGGTTTTATCATTTTGAGGATTTTTTTTTAAACTCAAGAGACTGAAAAAAAAAATACCAGAAGAAAAAGAAAAGTAATTCCTAATTAAAGCAAATCCATCCTCTTGCTACCTTCAGGGCATCCCTTTCACTTAAAATAATAGCTAAATCGCCCCAATATCTATTTTAAGGAGGTTTACAAAAATATATATATAAAAAAACCAACTAAACTAATTGAAAGAAATTTATCTGATGCTGTATCCCATTACATATCACAAAACAAGGAACCATGTCAAAATAGTAAATACAAGTTACACATGGACTTTAGGACGCACCACGAACAATGATCATGACCAGGTAATCTTCTTCAGATTTGGCCAGTGCCTTGGCAGGGGAATCCAGGAACTGCTGAGAGAACTCACAAGGTGGGAAGGCATGAAGAACCCCTGTGTTCTCCTTGTCTTTGTTGCCCCCCACAGGGAGGCTGATCACCCCAGCTGCCTGCTTTTGCTTTAAATAGGACACAAGGTTCCTAAGTGGCCTCTGTGTAGAGGTGGCAGTGTCTGATGTAGCTGACGAAGAGGAGGATCGGCTGTCAGAACTTCCAGGTACAGCCAGAAGTATGGCATAACCATTGGGCCCTGCCACTTTGATGCGACGAGTTACTTCATCCAACTTGGGCTGGTCCAAACGGAGACGCTGAGTGATCTTGAGCTGGGCTACTTTGCCTCCAGTTGAACCCTCCACAAGTAGACTGCTAGCAACTTGGAGGTCACCCTGCAATAGATGCATGTTGGAAGGGAAGTTGCTGTTCTTCAGTAGAAGCATGCCCTGCCAAGCCAAACAGAGTTTGGGAGAGGATGCTGCCACAGGAGCTGTCCCTCCATCCTGTTTCTGGGAAGGAGCTTTCTGCTTTGATGATGACGCGCTGGCACTGGGTGCATTGCCATCAGAACGTTCTTCCTTTTTCAGAGGGTTTTTTCCCTCTGTGGGAGCAGCTGTCCGGTGCTTCCTATCCCGTTCAGCTGATGCAGAGTTTTTACGGTCTCGCTTGTCACTCTGGCTCTTCTCCAAACTGCCCCGTCTATCTCTGATTGGAGAGGGCCTTTCCAAAAGAAGACGAGAAGATCGATCGTTGTCACTGTTGTAGCGATCTCTGTTACTGCTCAGTTCTGGACTTCGGTCAGGAGAAGGAGTGCAATGACGTTTTCGTGGCCGGTCACTCTCAGGTGATCTATCCAGATGCCGTCCTCCACTTTCTTCAGGCAGCCTTCTCTTCCTTGGCTGGTCCCTGCTGCTAGGCAAATCCCGATCACCTCTGTCCCTGTCCAATGACCAGCCATCCCTCCTTCGATCCAAGCTATCCAGTGGCTCATAAGCAGTCACAGCACTAGCTGCAGCACGAGCACTGCGTTCTCGAACTGGTGGTGGGGGTGGCACCCAATCAGAATCAGTATAAAGGTCCCGATCACGATCTCTGTATAGTAAGGGTGGCGTCCTATCCCGAGCACTCCTCAAAGGGTCAGGCGCTCGATGCCCAAAAGTATCTGTCACTAGTTCATAATGAGTCAAGGGCAGAGGCTGAAGATACTGCTGCTGGTAACGATGCTCTGTGTCTGCAAAGTCTACTCTAAGGCGACGATCTGGGCCACCGAGTGGGAATCCACGCATATGGGTCCAGGCAGCATGAGCTGCATCCAAGCTTTCATACTGTATATATGCCCAACTATCACCTTTTCGGTAGTCAATGGTTCGTATGGTGCCAAATCGATCAAATTCTCGTGCCAGGGCAGCAAGAGGCACCCAAGGTCCCAGGCCACCCACCCAAAGTCGGGTGGTGGGTGTGGCTTTACCATAACCAATCTTGATTGGATTCCGAATTATAATTTTGCCAGACATTGCTAGTTTGGCCCTGTGAGACATGTCTAGGTTCTCAAATTTGAGAAAACCATAGGTACTGGTCTGTCCACGAGAAGGCCTCTTAATGTCCACTTCTGTGATGACTCCGAAACGATCAAAAGCCCTTCTTAGATCATTTTCTGTCACAGTGATGTCTAAGTTGCCCAAGAAAAGTGTCCGGTTAGCACGCTGATCATCCTCGGGCGAGATCTCATCCACTTCTCGGAAAGGAGCAGCACCTGCTCCAGCTCCCACCCTTGGCTCAAGACTATAAGCTGGGCGCACTCGGTCATAGAACGGGTAGTCTCGTTCTCTTTCCAGCTCTCGGGGCAATGGTGGTGGGGGTGGAGGCGGCAGGCGGCCAAGAGCCAACTGCTGCAACCGGTAGTCTCTGTATCCCAAAGCAGCACCGCCAGGGGAAAGTGATCTCTGACCTCCACCTCCTCCAGGGGCGTGCCTGTGGCTACCGACAGAGGTTCCGACCACGCTGGACGACGGAGGGTAAGTATCTTTGTCTAACGGGGAGCGGCTGCGGCGCCGGCTCACGTACACGGCTTCTATCTTCAGAGGCCGGTCATAGAGCACCAGGCGGCCTCTGGCATGCTTGGCCGCCCTCGCGTCCTCTGGCCTCCGGAAGTTCACAAAGGCTACCCGCTCATCCCCGCTGCCAGAACCCGAGAGGTGACTGATCTTGACACTTACATCACCGAAGCGTTTGAACTCGTGAAACAGGCCGTCCTCCACCGCCTCGTCGCTCAGCTGGGACCCCAACTCGCTTATCTTCAGGGTCTTGTACTCCACTCCGTCCCCGCCGCCAGGCGCTGAGGAGGCGGCCCCAGAGGAACGTGACTCCCCGCCTCCACCCCGGGAGCTGCTGCGCGACTCGCCCCCGCCTGAGGAATTTTTGGTGCTCGGGGAGCTGTAACTATGCAGGCGGCTGCTGGAGCTGCCCCCACCGGTGTCATACTCGCGGCTGCCACCTCGGCTGCTGGACTTATCCAGGTGAAGGCTCCGCCGCGACCCGCCGCTGTCCGTCTTCCCGCTGCTGCTCCCATTGCTGCCGCCAGAGCCCCCTAACTTCTTGCTCCGCTCCCCACGAGAACTGGAGTCCTCACCGCCGCGGGAGCGTTTGGGCTTCACCGGCGAGCGCTCCTTTCCTTTCATTGTTGAGGGTCGCCGGAGGTCGTCTCTGCGGAGCTGACTAACCCGCCACCCCGCGCTCGTTTCACACAGCGGACTCGCACGCCGCCATCTTGGACTCCGCCGCGGCAAAGGCTCCCGCCCCGCAGACCTCATTGGTCAATTAATTCACTCTTCAGCCTTCTCATTGGAAAAACTATTTGTCCGTCTTTACATCTCCCCGCGCTCCGGGAAGGCGCCCGCCTCGACGCTGTTATTGGGTTCCCAACGCCCTAATCCGCGTACCTCATTGGTTATATTCGTTGTCTATCTTAACGGTTCCTCGCGCCAGCCGTAGCTCCGCCCCTCGCACTTCACGGTCACCTGACCCGAAGCCTCGAGTCGTTGATTGGACAAAAAGTCTGCCCTGTAACGGTACTTCTAGCACGGCGAAAGCAGTGGTCCCACCTCCTCTTTCCTCTCATTGGTCCGTGGCCACGTCCTTTAAACCACTCCTTGGGAAGTACGGACTTCGGTTCTGGCGTTTTTTTCTGAAAACTTGGCTCTCCCGATCTCGCGAGACACAAAGAGCTCGCTCGCCCGCTCGCTCCCTTTCGACCCCAGTCTTCCAACTTCTCCGGCGGCCGGAGGAAGTTTAAATCTGATTGGACGTTGGCGAGGAAGCTGATAGGGTAACAGCGCTGTCCATCACTTACTTAAAGGAGTAGGCCCACAAACCGAGGCGTCTGAAGGTGAAAGACTAGAACACGCGCTTGCCGTGCGACGTCACTTAGCTGTCGCGAGACGGTGACAGCGAGTCGGGCCCGCCTCCCCGCGCTTTCGGCGTTCTCTTAAACATTTGTTAGGTCCTACGGCGTACTTGGCTGTGCTTCGGTCCTTCGAGTCTGGAACCCGCAGGCTCCGCACGGTCGGTGCTGTCTGGGCCGGACAGTGGGCCGGGTGGTCCCTCCGGCTGCTGGCCCTCGATCCCCTTAGGCAGCTGTCCCGGGAAGTCCAGCCGACACCATCTTAGTTAGCAGCCTGGAAAAGCCCCACCCCCGTGCGCGAGAAAGCGCCTGCCCGGGTCTGTGCAGCTGGCCGGGGCGGCGAGTTCAGGGTTCACTGAGCCTCGGGTCACGCTGACGCCCTGGGCGGTACCGAGTCTCTGCCCGCCCACCCGCGGACATAGGAAACGGCGCCCCGGAGACGTGGCCGCCCCAGGGCTCGCGGTGACCTGTGTTCACAGCCTCCAGGCCTACTGGTCCGACCTGCGGGCCACTGCAGACCTTCCCTGGCGCCTGTTTTAGGTTGTGAATCCCTGTAGGGTTTGCATTTGTAAAAGCCATGGAACGTGATATCGCTGTGCTTACCTTTAATATGTAACGCTTCTCGCTGTGCGGACACTTGACACTTTCTCTGGTTTCTTGTGCCGCAGCACTCCCGATTAATTCCTACTAGGATCCAGGAACACGGGCACTTTGCTACCTCCCTAGGCCCACCTCTTTAAGTCTTTTAATCATGATCCACTTCTCAACTCCCGGTACACCATCCAGGTACCTTTATTGTGTGTTGGGTAAATTTGTGCAATACTGTTGGATCATGAGACTAGACGGGTAGTCTGTTGCACTGGCATTTGCCTTCTGGTGAAGAGAAATAGGCTTCCTGCAGTCTCCCCAAGAACATTCCGGCCAAAATTTCTTGATCACATCAAAGGGATTTGAAAGAAGAAGCCCAATCAATATGTTAACTATAAACCTCCAAATACTGTAATGCACAGATATACTTGTATTAAAAATAACTCTTGTGGGGCATTGTGGAATAGCTGTAATCCCAGCTCATTAGCCTGAAAACCTCAAAACCACTCACACACAAAAGAAGTCTGGAGACTTGGGCACCATGTATGAAGCTCTAGATTCAAGCCCCAGTACTTGGGGGAAAAAATGGGTTTTAAAGTCTTATTTTTTTCCAGGCAAGGTGGCTCATACCTTTAACCTCAGCACTCAGGAGGTAGAGGCAGATGGATGGGTCTCTCTGTTGAAGGCCACCTTATCTACAAAGCGAGTTCCAGCTAGGGCTGTTACACAGAGAAACCCTCCCTTCTCAGAAAAACAGAAAAAAAACAAAATGACAACAACAAAAGACTATTTTTTTTAGCAGGACATGATGTACTCATTTAATCCCAGCACTTGAAAGGCAGGCACAGGAAGATGTCTGTGAGTTCAAGGCCAGTTTAGTCTACATAGTGAGTTCTAGATCAACTAGGACTATATATTGAGACCACACACGTGCGTGCTTGTATGTATGTGTGTGTTTGCATGTATGCTAGTATTCTGGTGTCCAGAGAAGCGAAAAGAGAGTGACAGATCCCCGGAAGATCCCAGAATTGTGAGTCAACCTGAGCCCTGGGGAACAAACTGCAAGTAATTTTAAAACAGCAAGTAATTTTAACCCCTGGGCCATCTCTCCAGGCCGGCAAAAATAATTTTTTAAAAGGCTGTTAACATAAAATACCACCAGTCAGAGAAAAATGTGTATGATAAACTACCAATTGTGTTTTTTAACATTGTATGTGTATCATATACATATGCTTGTATTTTTTTTTTCTTTTTGGTTTTTCCAGACAGGGTTTCTCTGTGTAGCTTTGCAGCCAGGCCAGGCGCACTTGCTCTGGAGACCAGGCTGGCCTCGAACTCACAGAGATCCACCTGCCTCTGCCTCTCGAGTGCTGGGAATTAAAGGCGTGCGCCACCAATGCCCGGCTATATGCTTGTATTTTTAATTGATAGTTACAGAGATTGCTCTCAGAGACAGAGCTGAGGATCTGGAATTAGCAAGGGACTTTTGATATTATAAATGAAAATTTTCCTTGTATAATTTTGGTTTAAAAATATACAGTAGTGTTAGATCCCCGGAAAACTCAGGTATCCGGGGCTTCGGTCACCCCAATCACCAGGCAGATCCGAGAGCATGCTGCAAACTGCATGAGGCTTTATTGTAATTTAATGAGCTAACCCCATGTTAGCTGGGGTCTTTTACCCCCCCGCCATGGCGGATGGCTAGAAAAAGACAGCTCGGCTTGCCCTGTGTTGATTGGTCAACTGGTTGTTATGGCCCATAGGCCCTCCCAGGGTGGTTGCTATGCTTTGTGGGTCATTGCTGTGCACTTGTCCGTAAAGCACACACGCAGGGTCGTAAAGCATAGCGCCACCAGCTAACTTCTGATTGGTTCCTTGTCACAAGGAAGGCATCTGACCTCTAAGTGACCAAGGCAAGTTATGGCAAGCATATATTCGGCTGTTATGGCTGCCGAAAGGGAAGCTAGTCCCTTCAGTAGTAGAATATATTTTGAAGACCATCCTATCTGCTGAGCACACAGTCTCAACAATTGTAAGATCATGTCAATCGTTTTCTTTAAATCTACAATCCTATTCCTATTCTTCCCTGCTCCATTATTTTGTTCCATGCATACTTGATACAGTTTCTGCCTCAGATGTAGAATCCATCATTCCTACATAATGAAAAAGCTTTTCAGAGGTGTGCTAATCTATCTCAAGATTATATGCATACTACAAAAAGGGAATTGAAGTTAAGCCTTTGCCTGATTACTGTAATAGCCAATCCAGAAAAACTGAGAAGTGACTTTTTTTTTTTTGGCTTTTTTTTTTTTTTTTTTTGAGACAGGGTTTTTCTGTGGCTTTGGAGGCTGTCCTGGAACTAGCTCTTGTAGACAAGGCTGGTCTCGAACTCACAGAGATCCGCCTGCCTCTGCCTCCCAAATGCTGGGATTAAAGGCATGTGCCACATAGCCTAGGGAGAAGTGACTATTTTTAGCCTACATTGATTAACATAAATGACTCACTGATCCAAAGGAAAGATAAGGACCAATCAGTGTAGGAGTTTTAAGAGCACTAGAACTAAGAAAAAAAAAAACTGAAGGAGATGAAAAGGGACAATATGTGTGATGGTGCTTGAAGCATGCCAGGATTAGTGGGTTGTCGTTTGGTAGAACTTTTCCACATCTGACAATGGTAAGAAGGCTTCCTAAGGAAACCCGTAGCCTTTCTGGACCAAAAAGACTGGTAAGTTTAAAGTTAACAGCCATCACCAGCAAGAGTCAAAATATAGCTTATTACATATGTTTGCCCATGACAGAACAAGGTAATGACCTAAGAGGCACACACATGCTTCTTAAAAGTGTAATCTTTTTATTCTGCGTGTATTTGACTTTAAAATAATGTTCACTGAAATAGAAAGCAATCATTTAGAAACCATGCTGTGATTAGGTGATTTATATAATTTTCATTTCCTTTGTGTTCTTTGAAGCATGAAGCTATGCCAGTGAGGTTTTAGCCCCCTGTATTTACACATGTGTTTTGCAGAGGGCTGAGAAAGGACAACAGTGACATATGGCTTAAAGAGCAAGGACTTGGAATTCTTCTTTGGGTGTTGTCAGTGGAGTTGTTGAGATGCAATCCAAGCTTTCTTCCTGTCTCCAAGTGATCCCTGGCCAGGTCCATGAGGAGAATCTTTCAATATTTATGACCAGAATTAAGCTACCAACAAATTCCCCTAGCACCATAGTAGTACATCAGTCAATCTGTTCCTTTAGTGTTCTGCCAAAACCCAAGAAATAGTGTTGAGGAAAAGCTTCAGAGTTGGCCCACTTTTGCCTAAGTGTTGGCCCATTGGAGTTATACTACTCAATGCCTTAAGGAAAAGTTGCTACTAGTTCTCTATAAAGTGTTTTTTCCACCTCCTTTAAAGTCAGTTTTAAACATGAAAAAAACCAGAAATTTATGCACAACTGAAACAAATCCTCAATGCACACATAATTATGACTGCAATATGAACTTAGAAGTTGAAGCTCTGTTATATGCAAACAGAACTAAAGCTTAGGACTGAACATTTTTTCCCTTCCATAATAGTAGATTAAAATTTTCTGTCTCATCTCCTAAAGTAAAATGAGTGGACTCTTGACAATGAGGTTTGTTTTATTTGACACATGAAGTATACATATTTTACCTATGAGCAATCAACCATGTTGAGACCTAGTTTGCATTATATAATGATGACCTTATTTGTGGTTGTGGGGAGTTTTTTTTTTCTTTTTTTTTTCTTTTCTTTTTTTCTTTTTCTATATAATGATGACCTTATTTGTGGTTGTGGGGAGTTTTTTTTTTCTTTTCTTTTTTTCTTTTTTCTTTTTTTCTTTTTTTGGTTTTTCGAGACAGGGTTTCTCTGTGTAGCTTTGGAGTCTGTCCTGGCACTCGCTCTGGAGCCCGGGCTGGCCTAGAACTCACAGAGATGCTCCTGCCTCTGCCTCCCGAGTGCTGGGATTAAAGGTGTGTGCCACCAACACCCACAAATGGTCTCTTCTTCCAGGCACCTTGCATGATTGGCTTCTTCCAGGCAGCTTTGCTCATCTGTGAGTGTCTCTCAGTGATCCTTATAGCTTCTATACTAGGGAGGACCTAGTATATTTGGTCAGTTTCAGAAACGTTCTGAAGTCTTTGCGTTGTTTACTTCCTGTTTTAACAGACTTTCCTGTTGGGTAGAATGTTTTATCCAACATCCTATTGTTTCACCCTCTTGATAATATCCTGTGTCTTAAGGAGCTTCTCTCCAAGATGGAAAGTTTTAATATGTGAGAAAACTGCTACACAACAGAATGCTTGAATTTACTAGTATGTTCTCCCTTTAAACCTGGTTACCTAAAATTAGATTAGCCACAACCATGGTCCATAGGCCTTTACATTTTTCATTATTTAGCCAATAATATACTGAATACCCGTGAGCCCATCACACTATCAAGCACTCAAAACCAAAAAAAACCACAGAAAATTATCAATAATTGTATATGCCTTTGTGCTCCTCCTCAGATTGTGTGTGTCTGTGTATACATATATACAACGTGTGTATACAATGAATATAATTGGCAATACTTACTTTTAAGAAAATTTAAATGAGTATGCATATATTTGTTTTTGTGTATATGCTTGCAACATGTCCCTTAAAAATAAGTTCTTTCAGTTTTGCTTATAGCTGATTTTTTTTTTTCTTGAGACAGGATCTCATATAATCCAGGC